GTAAGCCTGTCGTTGCTCTTGTCTCTCTCACCCTACTGGCTGTAGAATGGAGGCCAGAGCCATGGAGGTCCCACAATCCCCCGTCAGGCCCCTGGCCCCGTCTAGAGAACCAAACAGGGCTGCAGGGGTCAACAGGGAACTCTTCTCCAGAGTCAGGCCAAACTCAAGACCTGAAGATCGACCATCACCAGGTGCTTGGCCCTTCAGGGGCAGCCCGCCACCTCCCTGGAGCCCGTTCTCTCAGCAACACACCTGGGGATGTCACACTGGCGGTGCTCCTTCCCTTCAGCATGTGGCTTGCGGTTGGAGTGGCTCTTGTTCCTCCCTGTCTACCTGAAGGTGGAGGTGTTGCCTTGGGCAACAGTGATGTCACCTATAAGGTGCTTCCATTCTGCTGATGTCACTGGATGGGCCACTGGGAAGGAGGGGGAGTGTGCTTTCTGTGGGAGATACCACAGGTCCCGGCCCAGGGGAGAATCCTAGGCCATGTAGGCACTCCCATACGCCCCTCCGGCCTCCCCAGAAAACCTTCAGCCCCCTCTTTACCGTCTGGATGTCTGTGGCAGGGAGGCCGCTACTTTGACTTTCCCTCCCCCAGAGTCTGAGAAAGGTTGACTGGCTGCTTTACCTTCAGCCCTGAGCAAACCACCCACAGGACATTGAAGAGCTCCTCCCTCTTACCCCCCCCCCCCAGGCCAAAGGAGACCTTGGACCTCAGAGGAGGGAGCAGTGGCTCTGACACTCAGGCTCCATCTTGCAGAGAATGCCGATCGCTGACCTCTAATGTCTTCTGGAGACCATACTAGCCAGGTTGCACATCGGTGCCATGCTCAGAGCTTTTGACACGTGCTCTATGAAAACGTGTTCCTCATTTTACTGGCGACAAAAGCAAGGATAAATAGTGAAGGCACTTGCTCACATACTGAGAACACCCAGCTACTAAGCAGTAGAGCCAGCATTCAACCCACATCTGCTCTATTTCAAGGCCATGTGGGCCACGTCTCTTTGGCTCTGGAGCACCTGGAGACTGTGATTTACTAAAGATAAGGTGGCCTGTGAGAGCCAAGAGTCCTTGAAATCCACAAATAATGGGTGGGCAGGCTAGGTGGACTGACACAGCCAAAGCAAGACCTGTTGCTCACCCAGGGACTGCAGTGAGTGGCCAGTCCTGGCCCTCCCGCGGTCCATGCTAATTAGGGATCATGAGTCTTTGCTCTGTGCTTGTTTTCCTGTTGATCTACCCACCTGACCAACCTCTTGGTTTGTGTTTGGCATTTATCCCCATGGCCTGGCCCTCCAACCTTGAAATTGTACACTTCTTTAACTTATGCAATTGTACCTCTATCTAGCTGGGAGCTAATGCTTATAAAATACTAAATAAGTAAATAAAATAAAACTAGCGAAAGTAAAAAAGAGGAAAGAGAGAAAATCCTGCCCCTGAGGACCTGGCCCAGGAGATGCTCATGGCCATCTGAGTGGAGTACTGGTCTACCAACAGTACTGGCTCCCAACAGAAGCCCAGGCTTCTGGGCTATCACCACCCTCTCTGGCCCCTGCCCGGCTCTGACTCCAGCTCCCAAGCAGAGACTACCTTGAAATGCTCAGAATGCAGGGAACACATATCACCCAGTTGATGTGAGGGTCACCAAGTCTCCTGGTAAGTTAATAAACTAGCATTCTGATGTGTAACTCTCTTCTGGAAGGCTTCTCAAGGTGACTCAGTAGCCTAGGTCCAAACCACTCTGAAAATTGTGGAGATGGGGTTTCTGAGTGGACGCAGAGAAGCATGAGATGCTGGGGCAGGTGACCCGATCCTGAGACACCTCTGTTATGGGCAACGCCAGCCGTCCCAAGAGACATTGTGACTTCCTCATTGGCCAAGAAGTCTATTTTGTTTAAAATACTGCCAGAGACAGTATGTTGTAAATGCTCCGTTCCACCTAATTAAGTGCTGAAGTGCCTAGTGTTGGAAAATAAGTGATTACCTATATAGAGCTGGCCCTGGGATGCCTTTTGGGGAAAGGGGATGGGGAAGGGGATACTTGCAGGGGGCAGGGCTGGGGGGGCTGGGCAAGAAGAGTCAGGAAGGTAGATGTGAATGTTCCCCCTGTTTCATTCCTGGGTCTGAGGCTGTAATAGCTGGGGCCTTTTCCCTCTGCAACACACCCGGGTGGCACTTACTCACCACTCCCTTGCCAGGCCCCAAACTGGATTTGCCACCTCGTGCCACCCAGTGATTAAGAAGGAAATTCATTCAGTGCTTGGGCCGGCCTCATCGCCATCGGCCATCAGTGGGCTGGCTACTTTCTTTCCCTGACTTTCTGCTGCCAAATGACTTTTCCATCTTTACCCTGAGCGCACGGAGTATTTCTGCCTTGACAAAGAAAGAAAAAGGCAACTGCTCTTTCCTCTTGCTATGAAGACCCCCAGCTAAACTTGTGATGCCTGACCTGCTTCTTGCCCTGTGAATCTCGGTGACTGGGACTCGGCTTCCAGGCTCCTGAACATTGTACTTCCCTGTATCTTAGTTTCTGCATCTGTTCTATGGGGATAACAGGCTTTAATGAAAAGAAAACTGTGATAAATGTTAAGCCCTCAGTACCTGGTTATCAGGGCTGCTGTGGATGGGAGGGCGGGTGGCACACTGCCCAAGGACACCTGGCTGGGGGTGGTAGGAGGGAATGCAGCTGGGGTGCCTTTTGCCCAGCTGTGTGCCTGTCCACCCAGGTAAGTCCTCTTTTTGGAAATGATACATACCAAGGAGTTTTGCTAAAAAGGACTAATTCATTTTCATTGATGGCTGGGGTCAGCAATGGAATGGGCTAGCAATAGCCCTGAAGGTGACTGCTATCTGTTCTTGTGACTGTGGCCCCCTGATTTAGTCCAGTCTGGTCTCAGCTCCCCAGCATGCTTGGGGTTCCAGCTCCCTTAGGACAACTCCCCATCCCCACCTGCTGCCCTATTACCTCAACTCCTAGTTAGGAACTTTCTGCTCCAACATGGCGCCAGTCTCAGACTATGAAGGGACTCTGGTGTCTCTGGGACACTGACACCCCCTATCTGCTGAGGGGCAGCACGTTACATACTGAGGTGTTCTAGAGCTGCAAAATTTCTTCCTCTGCACAAGTAAGATCCCTCCTGCTCTTCTCTGAGTCTCTGAGGTCAGACGGAGTAAGTCCCCTTTCTGAAGTGACAAAGCCCAGGTTTCCAAGGCCACAGTCCAGTCTACCCCAGCTTCTCACCCCTGGGGTAACCTCTGGAGGTTCATTCCCCTTGCCCCACAAGATGCACTTTCCAGACTCCCCAAGCCTTTTCGTCCCCTCACCTTTGGACACCTCCCTGGTGACCTCCCCATCCTCCAGAAGTGGCCCTACCCTCATCCAGCTCTCCTACCCTGCTCTTCTCCAGCTCCCACCCACCACACAGGCCAGTATCCATCGGGCAGAATCCTCCACCTTTCTCTTTACTGACCCCAAGACATCCAAGAATGGAAAAATACAAAGCCAGGATTCTTGCAGACATCTCCTCAGGTGGGCAATTTTGGCAGAAGCCTCTACCCAGAAGTTCATCTACGAGGGGCTAAAAGCTTACCCACCACTCTTGGTTTCCCTCCTGGGTGCTGCAGGGGCTGGGAACTGTTCCTGGTAAGGTGCCAACTTCTGGGATGATGGCACCAGGTTAAATCCTTACCCCTTGAAAGCCAGAGTTTTGAAATTGCTCCATATTTGAAAATCACCAAGTAAAGGATGAGACTTGAATAAAAAAAATAGACTTTTTAAGGGGGGGTGGGAGAGAGCAGAGTCAATATAACCACTTCATGGTTACCCACAAGTGGAAAATATGAAGGAAGCATGGCCTGGAGGAGCAGCACCAAGCAGGGAATCAGCAAACAATGCAAGCACTTAGGTGGAGAACAGCCTATTGAGCCTTACTAAAGGTGAGAGCAGCCCAAGGTACTTGTGGCTGCCAAGCCATTTTCACTGCTAACCTGGGCTGTGACTGCACCCTGGACCAAATGGCTTTCTCGGGCAGCCTCTCCAGAGGTAGAACTGGTTTGTAAAAAAGGAAGGGCCCTGGGTGAAATCCAAACCAGGAAAAAAATAGAATATGGTTCTGAAGTTATTTAGACCCAAAATGCCAAGGTCTAGAGGTCCTGAGTTTTGAAGGGGGGTGGCGGATAGAGGCCGGTGGGATGGGGGTCTTCTTACACCAGGCAAGAGACAAAAGAAGGCAAAGGGGTGGTCCCTGAGTGGGTCCCTAAAATATTTTTCCTTCTTGCTTTTAAAGAGGAGCGCTCTGGAAGGAAGCCAGGCCCTGAGAGCTTTGGGGTCCCTCCATCTGGCCCTCAGTGGTGGACACTCTGGTTTCGCAGCTAGGAGTCAGGTGGCTTAAAGCGGTTAGCAACCCCAAGAGAAAGTTCTGCACAGCATGGCGTCTCACCCCAGATGAGTCCTAAAAGAGGAAGCTCGCAGAGGACTTCTCATGGCTTCGCCTTCTCAAACCCCGAAAAATCACGCATCCCTGCCACTGCCTCCTTTCAGGAGGGGATGGAAGGCGGGAAAGGGGCTGGAGAAAGCGCTGGGCTGCGGGCGGTCGTGCCGCCCCGTACTCAGCGCACTCCATCAAAAGTAACGGATCGTGGGAGCAGCGTCCTCCCACCGCAGGCGCGGAGCCTCGGACGCGGGGGGTGCGCTGGGGAGGGGCTGCTGGCCTCGGGGCTGCAGGGACGCGCCTCCGGCCCCCGCGGCGGGGCGGAGACTCCCCAGGCTGGACCCGCTCCGCGCGGGTAGTTGCAGCAACCGCCGTGGACAATGCGCCCGCCCTGGCATGCGCGCTGTGGCTGGCTCCCCAAGTTTGCGAGTCCTGGGGGGCCCCGCGCTCCACGCCATCATCTCCGGCACAGTCCCGTCCAGTCCCCGTCCCCATCGCGTCCTTCTTTCTCCCAGCACCCGAGGTGCGGGGGAAGACGTGGACCTCGCGGCTGCCCGCGCAGAGCTCACCTCGGCGGGGTCCTCGCTCCGGGTCGCTCCAGGCTTCGCGCGCGGGCTGGGACTGCGCAGTCGGGGTCGGTGGCGGCGGAGCGCCGGGGAGGGGGGGACAACTAGAGAGACCGGGGCCGCGATTCTCCGGCGGGCTCCCGCCTTCGGGCCTCCATCAGCGGCTGCAAAGCGCTCCGGAGTTACTCATTTCCTGGATGTCACTGAAACTTTGCCTCCTTATAAGAACAAAACACCCGCCTCTACGCTCAGCCGCCGAAGCTCCTTAAGGAGGACCGTGGGCCAGGCCAGCGGCCCCGGGCCAGCAGGGTCTGCCCTGGGGCCCTCCCTGGCGCCTCAGAGGGGGCAGCAGAATTGGAGGGTGATCGGGGAAGAGGGCATCCGGCCACCGGACTAAACTGGCGCGAACACTCAGGGAGCCGGGGAGGACGCCCTTAAAACCGGTCCAGGCCCGCGGCAGGCAAGGGGTTAAATCGCTACGCCTCCACCCCGCGATTCCCCGGCGCGGTTTCCAACCCGTGGAATTCCAGTGGCCAACTTTTTTGTCCTCTTTAATATAAGTCGAGACACAACGGCCAGCCCTTTTCTCTTTCGAGGTTTCCATGGAATAAGCTCACCGGATCGGGGGAGGGAAGTGCATTGCCCTATGGGGATGGCATACGGGTGATGTGATGGGAAGCCCACGGGGATTACAACTGAGATGGAAAAAGGCACAAAAGGATGTAAAAACAACCTATTATATTTTATTTAAAAAATTCTAAGGATAAATCTGTAATTAAGTTATTGATACATGAGTGTATATGTATATGTCCGTACATATACATATAAGGAAATGGTTAAAAAAAAAGTTAGAAAAGTTTGTCTCAAGGGTGGAGAAAGGAACTGGTGTCTAGGTATTCCTTTGATTCAAAACATTTAATTAGACAAAAAAGAAACTACTCACCAAATTTTATGGTAAAAGAATGCATCATTGGCTTTCCCCCTGAGTAACCCAGCACAAAGGAGAGAGACAGCTAAGAGCTTTATCTGCTGAGGGCCTGTTGCTTTCCAAACTCTGTTTACCGTGTTACACCTCTGACGGCCTGAGGGAACCGCCGCCAGGGAGCGGCAGCACTCTGGTCCTGCGTAAGGGGTGATGAAATCCATAACCTGTTATCTTCTCTTTGGGATCTCCCTAAATTCCAGAGCCAGGACGGGCTGGGGTAAATCCTACATTAAGTTGCTTAATGTCGAATGCCAGTGAGGGCACCTTGGGGGGAAACTCAGAGAACACACTGTCCAAGCAGCCATCACTACTGCTACTGCAGTTTGGCCTTAGATTACCTTCTTCTGTTCTCCCTCAAGCTCGGGCCAAATAGCTTTAACGCTTGTCTGGAAGACTTTAGGCTGCCTTTGAAAGATAAACAGGCAAAGAGAGTTAGTTCTATAAATAGATCCCCCACTGCTGCTTTCCCCAGGGTGCTTTTATTTTCTAGCTCCTCTTGCTGCTCCTGGCTCTTTCCTTACATTAGGGACAGTATGGCAGAGTTTTGGGGTCTGGGGCAGAGGGGTGGACAATGGGGCTATCTGGGGGGAAAGAGCTCTGAGTTTCTGTAGGCTGGATGGGTGAGTTACTCATCCCACGACCTCTGTCCCCCTCCAGGTGGGGGAGATTCCTGGGAGGTGGTCCCATTCCACCCAGTACCCCTGTGCTTCTCAGTACTTAGGGGCGGACATCCAGGTTGTATGTGATGGAAGCCAGGGTGAGTACTCGTGTGCCCTCTGGGTCTGTCATCCTGTGAGCAAAGCTGTTTCTGCTGTTTCTAACTGGCCGTGCATATTTATTTATAAAGAGACACTTATTGTATTTGTTTTTCTTTTACACCGAATGCTCTCACCTCTGTGACCTGATAGTCATCCTCATTGGCTCCCCACTGCTCTCAGCATGAGACTTAACCTGGCACACGGGCTGGCCATAAACTGGCCTCCGCTTATCTCCTATCACCAACCTCCTATCTCTCTCCATGTTCCACACCAACCCCCTGGCAGTTCTTGGAACGTGGGCTTCTCAGAATGTGTTACATGGTTTATTTTCCCCCTTTGGATATTCACCCATTCTCTACCTTCAACCTTTACCCTCTTCCTCCAACTTGTCACCCCTCCCATGCTTACCCACTTTTTTTTTTTTTTGCTTGGCAAATATGTGCTCAGGACTTCTCTTTCACAAAACCTTCCTTGAACCCCTACACCTGGGTTAGACATCCCCTACCTCTCTGTAGTTGCCATAGCATCGGGTGCTTACCCTTGAATGTGTTTTTAAAAGATAGGGAGGGAAGTACAGAAGCTTCAATTCTGGGAACATGAGAAGTCAAGATGTCAGGGTAGCTCCGCTTCAAACATGAGGAATGCTGGAAAAAAATATGACAACAATTGAAACAAAGGGGTATCTTTCAGTGTGAGGCAGGAAGAGAAACTCAAAGCACGCAGTGCTAATAGATGTGCCAGGAGCCCCAGTGGCTAGGGGCTGGGAGGAAAACTCTGGCGATCTGGACTTGAGACCTCTGCCTAAAGTGGGGACCCTGGAAGGGCTCTTCATGACTGGGGGGTGCAGGGGAAAACCCTTCCACTGGTTCAGGGCCACCGCTAAGAGCTTTGATTTGCCAGGGCTCTGTTTGAGTTAAAGAGTTTGCTATATAAATCCCACCCCCACACCCCCACACCCTCCCAGACCTAGATGTGAGATCCCAGTTTACACTTGCCATGAGGCAAGAGCGCTCTGGGGTAGAGAAGGACAATAACAGGAAAATAACAGCAGGGTCCAAAGTGACGAATCCCCCTAGTCCAGTCAGAAGCAAATGCAAACCCAGTTGTTTATCCTGACTGCTCACAGAATAAATAATTCTCACTGAAAAAGAGCCTGTAAGAAATTGTAAGCCAAACCAGGAAATGAAGCACATGAGGGGTTGGGTTGGGAGAGGAGCTAGACAGGCAAATTAATGCCTTAACAACTGGAGATGGTGGCCTCTCTGGTGACCTAGGTGCTGAAGTCTCAGCATTACTACTGCTGAGGCCAGTTCTGAGTTCTCTCCCAGTTCCCAGCTTGGGAGTTGACCCCCGTGGCACAGCAGACCTCTCCTGTCTCCTCGCTGCTCCTCTCAGTGGTGTCTATCAGTAGATCTGCCTGTTCTGCTCCCCACTCTGTCTCTGGTGAATCCTCTCAAGCCCATCCCCAGCACCTCTGGCCTGTACCGCAGCTCTTAGATGCATAAATAAATAAATCTTAAAAAAACACTTGAGATAATAGAACAGTTTGAAAAAGACTATAAAATGGTTATGTGCAAAATAATTACAGAGACAACAAAGAATACAAGTTGGCATATTTGGAAAAGTGCAGATGTAACATGTAGACATAAGTTTAACATTTCATATAAACCCTAAATGATTAGAATTCTTTTTAAATATATTGGTCAAAATATAATAAAAGCGGGCCCTTCCTGGTGGCGCAGCGGGTTAAAGCACAGCACTGAGAAGCTAAAGCCACTTCCGCATGAGTTCGATTCCCGCCTGCCCCGGA